TCAAAGAAGATCCAGCAGTTCCATAGTAACAACAAGTGAATTTTCGCTCGAAGTTCTCCTTATGCCAAGAAAAAGAAGGCAAACAAAAAAAAAAATCAAAACGAAATTTCAAAACATTGAATGAGGAATTACATTTAAAACACGAATGCGGCTTCTACAATTATAAGGTTCAACACAAGCAATTTAAAGAAAGGCAACAAGCAGTTTGACCAACTCATAACAACTCCACAGCAAAGAAAATCGGCCCTTGTCGACCGAAAGAACAGTCCGCAGAAACTTCATCGCAGGAACAGTACACAAGAAACTCAGCCAGTAATACACTGGGAAACAGTCCGCAGAAACTGTATCGCAGAACAGTCCACTAGAAACTCCACACAAAACACCGCGTCTGCAGAAAGTGCCACAGTAAAGGTTAAACAAAATTGAGAGACACAAGCAGTAGCCCCTTTTTACGGTTAAACTTGTTGTATTTTTATAACAATACAGTCGAACATAGAACTGAGAGAGGCAAAGTTCGGGCACCAAGCTGCAAAAACATCGTGTTTTTCTTGAGGCCTCTGAAACTCTTTTAGTATATAAGCAGTTTTAAAATGTAGCGTGCAGAATTACACTTTTACTCCGCTCGATCGCCTGCGTGCTTTTGTGTCCAGAGGACGTTTCCGTTGTGTAAAAATATGGAAATATGGACTGAAGCTGAATGTGCCTGTCATAGTGTGATGCGGCACAGAAAACCGTAAAAAGCAGGTTAATGCGGCATTCGGTTCTGAGACACCATAGAAGAAGGAATTGACAAAGACGGAGGAGGAACAACTCGCTGAAATAAGACTCAAACACCTTGTCCCAACAAACTCAGCCCGACAGAAAAACGCAATGGCAAACGCAGAAAGGATTGACCAAGGCCAGGAGGATAAAGAAATAGACGATCAATGGACCAGATAGAAGAAAATCACATGTTCCATGGGACAACAAGGAAAGAGCGTTTTCCTTTCAAACTAAAACGCGTGATGTCTGGGCACTAATTCAAGAGACATTGACTAACCCGGATACGACAAGCGAACAAAGATCAAGGAAGGAAAAGGACTAGTGTACAAAAAGAACTTTATTACTCCCGTGGGAGTTGATGGATTTACGGGAACGTGGTGTTATTTTGTATGTAACAAGTCATTTTCGACACAAGAGACAACTTCATAATCACAGTTTCTCCGTCCGTGTGATGCGAAAAGACAATATTAAGCTTCTTTTTACATCTAATCACGTTTTGGAGCTTTTTCTGCAACAACCTTTACGCTTAAGTTTATATTTATACTTACGGGTAACCGCTAACTAGCGAATACCGGTTTGTTGTGTTTGGTTTTCGGTGCAAATCAAGGACTCGTGTTAGCCTGCGTGCAGAACGTCTCCTTTTCCTTGCAAGTTCAGTTTTAATCTGGTAAAAGTCATCTTCGCTTCCGTAGCTTTCCAACGGCATTGGGTTGTTTCCCGGTTGTTTACAGATGTACGGCGATGTTAAAGTGCAACTGCAAACGGCAGAGAAATGGATTTCTTCATAATCTTTTAAATTCTAAATTCTCCGCGACATTGATTAAGATTGTTTTGTCGGTATGATTCACGATCGGCGAAAAAACACAACACAGAAATCACACGACATCACCGAACATCGCCGCCATGTTTTACCTCCGTTGAAATTCATGCAGCATAAATTATCTTGAGTATTTCGGACGCTGAATCTAAACAATGACCTACTGTCAAGCAACCACATCAGAGCGCGGTCCCCGAATTCTGGGAGAAACCAGCTGGACACTGGAACACGATTAGAAACGCCGTTTCGCAGACGTCACTTTTCCGCGAGAAGCAAGGAAAAGGAGACGTCTGTCACGCAGGCTAGGATCGTGTACCGTTTCTGGACCATATCAGAAGTTGTGGAACAGATTTCCATTCGCGTATATTGATTTCAAAGCCGAGTAAAGGTTTGAAACTCTTCAAAGGTTATAGGAGTGTTCACTGTTTATCAACATTTGTTTTGTTATTCAAATTTGCCAACCATTAAACAAAAGAACTCTTTGTTTCAACAGCCAATAGTTCTCTGGTTGGCACATTAATAACAATAGGTGACGTAACGAGAAACATCGCTATTGAAACATTTCCATGGTTCAGGTTCGTTTCCATTTGTGTGTAAATTTTCTCTTGTTGATAGATTATATTGAATTAATAGGTCATTCCGTGTACAAATAATAAAGAATGATAAATCGAAACTGCTTGAATTGACTGAAACTGCATTAAAACTTGAAACCCGCATTAAATATTCAGTATTATTTTTTTTCTGAGAGCGCGAGCGGGCGGAACTCTCGATTCCTGCAATCTGATTGGTTCCGAGAGCGGGCAAGATTTTCCCATCTTCGTCAAAAATATTAATTT